TCTTATGGATCCTTTTAGTGCTGCTTCAATTTCTGTTTTTCATTGTTTAAAACTTGAACAGTACTAATTGTTCAGAGACACGATCAGTCAGTCAACAATAAAATATTCTCATTAATGTTCAATCATGGTCAAATCCAACTTTATTTTGTGATTTACGAATAATGTCTATTGACTTTGGTGACGAAGGCTTGTGACTTTTAAAATATGGGTCCCCAGAAAAAACAAAAACTTGGGAAACACTGGTCTGCACTGCCCATGACGTAAAACTCTGGTCAATCGAATTCCACACACTTTTGAAGACGCGACGCCACTTTTGCGTCTTCTGTTGAGACCGTCATCATATAAACGTAGCCTAAGTAAGTGTTATAATGTTGTTACCTCCTCAAAAACAGACCTGGAGGTTGTGTTTTGTTTCATTTACATTTGTTTGAATGGTAGTTTTGGTAGTCAACAGCTACTTTTTTATTTTTTGTTCAGTAGAAATCGCAACTCTACGGCTGAAATTATCCAAATTACTCTACTGAATGTGTGCGGAGTTTAAAAACACAGTGGAGAACTTCTTGTTTTACCACATGACATCGCAAAGTGGAACAAAGCGTTTCTCTTTTTTGTCATGATTCAGAAAGAGAAGTGGTCATTTTTTATGGTTTCTTTATCAGCTGACATGAAATTAAAAGACAGATATAAACGAAATTTTTGTTTTAAAATTGTTCATAACTTCTAACATTATTCCCTTATCTGAAACAGACCTGGAGTTTTATTTGGCTTAGTTCACGTTAGTTTCATTAATCCTCAGTAAAAATGCCATTTGCTTCTGAGTCTTAAACCCTATTCACGCAGGATTAGTTTTACCTGTGGACTTTTGGTGATTTGTAATAATTGCGGAGGATTCCTGAGATCTTAATCCTGTACAAATGTGCCATGTCTGTAATTTGTAAAGTAAAATTTCTGGGGCCTCAAATGACCTACTATATTTCATCAAACACAGACATTCGGTGATAATAATATAATAATATCTTGAGAATACATATTCATCTTTATAACCTATATGATAATTTAACACGATGTTCCAAAAAAGGCAGTTTAAGCAGTAATTTAGCTCCCAGCCTCATTTACATGTCAGCCATTTTGTGACATGCATGATACTCGGCTCCAGAGTCGACTTGGGCTTGTTTCCATATCCAGAAATGTTGGTCCTAGGGATGTTACTAATCTGGCAAAGTTTCATGCTTGTACCATAAAAAAGAACAATTGGGCACCTTTTTGGTCCTTAACAGCTCCACTATAATACTCGTCCCGTGCGAAACTTCATCTCTGTGTTTGTTTTTGTAATCTTGCGCCTTTTCTATGTCTTTCTTTTCTTTCCACGTTCTTTTCTCTTTCCTGTTTTAGTCCTGGTTTAGTTCTGGTTCAGTGCGGCATCAAAGTTTAAATCACAGAAACGGGAAACGGCGTTATCCGTAATCCGTGTATCATTCGTTAATTTGTTTTTCAATATAAAACCAGAAGAACAAGAAAAAGAAAAACAACAGTTTTCTTCATTATTTGTCTCCAAAACCAAAATGAAAAAAAACAGATAATGATTTGTTTTTTCAGTTTTCGATTTTGTGTTTAAATGAAAAATGGTAAAAACAGATAACGGACGTTTCTCATTTACATGACTTCTGTAACTGATCCAGGTCCAGGACCAGACCGAGACCAGAACGGGACCAGACTGAGACCAGAACAAGAGTGAGACCAGACCGGGACCAGACCGGGACCAGACCGAGACCAGACCGAGACCAGACCGGGACCAGGCCGAGACTGAGACCAGACACGGACCAAATTGGGACCAGAGCGGGACTGAGACCGAGACCAGACCGAGATCAGAAAGAGACCAGACCGAGACCGAGACCAGACAGGGACCAGACTGGGACCAGAGCAGGACTGAGACCAGACCGGGACCAAACCGGGACCAGAGTGGGACTGAGACCAAGAGCAGGCCGGGACCAGACCGGGACTAGACCAGGACCAGACCGGGACCAGACCCAGACTGAGACCGGGACTGAGACTGAGACCAGGCCGGGACCAGACTGGAGGCTCAGAGCCCACGGCAGGGCCGGAGCTCAAAGCTGAGGGTCTGGTCTCGGTCTGGTCCTGGACCTGGATCAGTCCTGATTCAGTCCGTATGCTGTGCAAAAGTCCGGCATCGCAGTTTAAGTCACACAAAAGGGAAACAGCATTATCCGTTTTTTTCATTCTTCATTTAAGCACAAAATCAAAAACTGAAAAAACTAATCATTATCTGTTTTTTCATTTTTCATTTTGGAGACAAATAATGAAGAAAATATTTGTTTTTTAATTTTCTCATTTTTAGTTTTATATTGAAAAACAAATGAACGAATAATACAGGGATTATTCTGCTTTCTGACTGGACCTTGAGAACCAAAACACCAAATTCTAACATAAACATCTTGTCCATCATGTCCAATGTTTTCGCAATTAAGAATAAATCAATAACACGGCCATTATCGGCGAAAGTTTGATTTGATTTGAACACGTTAACCTCGTATCTGGACACACATCTGAGTCACGTTTGTGGAATTTTAAATGAAAATATTACGTACGTACAGTTCCTTTAACAAAAACCTAAACAGCTTAAATGTTTCCTCTCTCGTAAAAAAAAAAAAAAAGCAGCGCTATCACATTTCCCTACCTAACTTTCCCCCGCCGCTCTCCTCCGTATATGGCACAGTCTGCTTGTTGTTTTCCCTAATCACCTCTGCTCTTGATGGATTATTCCGAAAACATCCAATCAGTGAAACTCCGCCCGGAATGAACTCGGAGCTGCCAGAACATCTGCACTTGAAAGCACTGGGGTTCAGCTCAGTGATGCTAGCAGCCTAATACATCACGAGCACTGCCACTGTCTGTACATATTATTCAAATTGTATGGGAGCGTAGGCTTTCTTCCGCCTTGATCAAAGACTCCTATATTTCTTTAAACAACAATGCGTGGATTTGTCTTGATAAGTGGCGTGACATATTGTGCGGTGGAAATTGCGACGTGGGAACGGGGCCTATCTGGAGCTAATGCGATCTGACGTATTCTTAGAAGAGCATTATTCATAAGTGACGTTGAAATTTGGAGATTAAATATTGTGTTTTATCAAAGGAAGAATGTTAATATACTTTGGGAACGCTTAATTAAACAGTCGTAGTTCACATGCAAGAGTCGTCTATTTTCAGGTTTTTTCCCATTCAGAAGGTAAAACTGCTCCAATGATATTTAAAGGTCCTATATTACCGTATTTTTCAGACTATAAGTCACACTTTTTTTCATGGTTTGGGTGGTCCTGCTACTCCGGTGCAACCCATATATTAAAATTTTCACGCTGACAGCCACAAGAGGGCGATCTAGTCTTGTGTGTCAGTATCTGCTGCTCGTGTTCCTCCTGTACCACTGGCACTTCACTCTACTGCGCATGTCTCCTGCAGAAAGAGCCTCTGTCCTGTCTGTGTCATGTCAGTCGATCGCACCATTACTTCTGTACCACTGAAAATTTTATATTTAAGTGACTTCAGTGACACCGAAACCATCCTGTCGGGATTCAGAAAGGCCCGAATAATTCTAACTGGAACTGATGCAGAGTCTAACAACAGCGACACAGAAGAGGAAGCGGCGCTCTGTTTACCTCCGGAGGTCATGGAGTTGTTCAGAAGTGACACCGAGGATGAAGAACTGAATGGATTTAGTGATTTGGAGTGAGATGGAGAGTTTGTTAAACTTGTTCTGTTCTGTTGTTTATGTTATAGTTTATCTGAAGAACTGTTCATATGTGACGTTAACAAAAAGTGTGACTTATAGTCCGGTGCAACTTATATATTTTTCTTCTTCATTATGCATTTTTTTGGCTGGTGCGACTTAAATTCCGGAGCTTATAGTCCGAAAAATATGGTATGGAAATTGGACTGAGCTTTAAGTCATGTTATAATGTTACCTACCATAAAAACAGACCTGGACTTGTGTTCTGTTTCATTCACACATGTTTGAGTAACTCTTAATTATTAGTCTGTCTACATCTCCAAAGCTCAAAATGTTCTGTTCCACCTTGTGTTGTCACGAAGCGACACTTAACAGCTACCTTTCACAAAAAACACAGTGGAGCACCTCCTGTATTATCCTGAAGGTGGAAAATAATAGTTTCTGTTTGAGAGAAGAACTAATACTAAATACTGGTGTCGTAAGACTCGAGACCGGTCTTGGTTTTGTCTCGGATTTGACCACGTATGGACTCGGTTTTGTCTCAGTCTTAAAGGAGCTTGGATTCGGTATTGTCTTGGTCTCAACGGTGCTTGGATTCAGCCTTGTTTCGGTCTTGAAGGTGCCTGGACTTGGTCTTGTCTCGGTCTTGAAGGTGCTTGGACTCGGTCTTGAAAGCGCTTGGACTCGGTCTTGTCTCAGTCTTGAAGCACTTGGACTCAGTCTTGTCTCGGTCTTGAAGGTGTTTGGACTCAGTCTTGTCTCGGTCTTGAAGGTGTTTGGACTCAGTCTTGTCTCGGTCTTGAAGGTGTTTGGACTCAGTCTTGTCTCGGTCTTGAAGGCGCTTGGACTCGGTCTTGTGTCGGTCTTGAAGGCGCATGGACTCGGTCTTGTCTCGGTCTTGAGGTTTGCCACTCGAAGGTGATAAAATGGAGATTGATATATATGTGCCAAAATAACTCTAAAATACAAATAAATGTTGATTTGGTCTCAATGGGCCGTGGTCTTGGTCTTGTCTTTGTCTCGACCCTCAGAGGTCTTGGTCTTGGTCTCGATTAGTGCAGTCTTGACTACAACACTACTAAATACACAGGGTTTGTGTGTTAAACATGTGTGAATGAAACAAAACACAACCCCAGGTCCGTTTTTGAAGAGAAAACAACATTATATTATTAGCAGTAGTAATAGTGCTTGAAGTATCAGTAATAGTAGTAGTAGTAGTAGTAGTAGTACTAGTAATAGTAGAAATAGTACATACTGTTGGTGGGGTTGTCTCCGATGATGTTGTGCCTCCCGCTCCAGTACCACAGCAGCAGAGTGGCGTCCCTGGACCCTGACACGACGTAACAGTCTCCCCCGATGTACGACTCCGAACGGGCCAGACACGTGACCACATCCCAGTGCCCGAACACCACCTGGACCAGCCTACCTGTACACACACAACACCTGGATTATTCTACCTGTACACACACAACACCTGGATTATTCTACCTGTACACACAACACCTGGATTATTCTACCTGTACACACACAACACCTGGATTATTCTACCTGTACACACACAACACCTGGATTATTCTACCTGTACACACAACACCTGGATTATTCTACCTGTACACACACAAACACCTGGATTATTCTACCTGTACATACAACACCTGGATTATTCTACCTGTACACACAACACCTGGATTATTTTACCTGTACACACAACACCTGGATTATTCTACCTGTACACACAACACCTGGATTATTCTACCTGTACACACAACACCTGGATTATTCTACCTGTACACACACACTGGATTATTCTACCTGTACACACAACACCTGGATTATTCTACCTGTACTACACAACACCTGGATTATTCTACCTGTACACACAACACCTGGATTATTCTACCTGTACACACAACACCTGGATTATTCTACCTGTACACACAACACTGGATTATTCTACCTGTACACACAACACCTGGATTATTCTACCTGTACACACACAACACCTGGATTATTCTACCTGTACACACACAACACCTGGATTATTCTACCTGTACACACACACCGGATTATTCTACCTGTACACACAACACCTGGATTATTCTACCTGTACACACAACACCTGGATTATTCTACCTGTACACACAACACCTGGATTATTCTACCTGTACACACAACACCTGGATTATTCTACCTGTACACACAACACCTGGATTATTCTACCTGTACACACAACACTGGATTATTCTACCTGTACACACAACACCTGGATTATTCTACCTGTACACACAACACCTGGATTATTCTACTGTACACACACACTGGATTACTACTGACACACACACACTGGATTATTCTACCTGTACACACAACACCTGGATTATTCTACCTGTACACACACAACACCTGGATTATTCTACCTGTACACACAACACCTGGATTATTCTACCTGTACACACAACACCTGGATTATTCTACCTGTACACACACAACACCTGGATTATTCTACCTGTACACACAACACCTGGATTATTCTACCTGTACACACAACACCTGGATTATTCTACCTGTACACAACACCTGGATTATTCTACCTGTACACAACACCTGGATTTACTGTACACAACACCTGATTATTCTACCTGTACACTCACACACCTGATTACTGTACACACAACACCTGGATTATTCTACCTGTACACACAACACCTGGATATTCTACCTGTACACACAACACCTGGATTACACTGTACAACACCTGGATTATTCTACCTGTACACTCACAACACCTGGATTATTTCTACCTGTACACACAACACCTGGATTATTCTACCTGTACACACACAACACCTGGATTATTCTACCTGTACACACACAACACCTGGATTATTCTACCTGTACACACAACACTGGATTACTACCTGTACACACAACACCTGGATTATTCTACCTGTACACACACAACACCTGATTATTCTACTGTACACACAACACCTGATTATTCTACCTGTACACACAACACCTGGATTATTCTACCTGTACACACACAACACCTGGATTATTCTACCTGTACACAACACCTGATTATTCTACCTGTACACACAACACCTGGATTATTCTACCTGTACACACACAACACCTGGATTATTCTACCTGTACACACACAACACCTGGATTATTCTACCTGTACACACACAACACCTGGATTATTCTACCTGTACACACAACACCTGGATTATTCTACCTGTACACACAACACCTGGATTATTCTACCTGTACACTCACAACACCTGGATTATTCTACCTGTACACACAACACCTGGATTATTCTACCTGTACACACAACACCTGGATTATTCTACCTGTACACACAACACCTGGATTATTCTACCTGTACACACACCTGGATTATTCTACCTGTACACACAACACCTGGATTATTCTACCTGTACACACAACACCTGGATTATCTACCTGTACACACACAACACCTGGATTACTACCTGTACACAAACACCTGGATTATTCTACCTGTACACTACACACAACACCTGGATTATTCTACCTGTACACACAACACCTGGATTATTCTACCTGTACACACACAACACCTGGATTATTCTACCTGTACACACACACACCTGGATTATTCTACCTGTACACACACACCTGTACACACAACACCTGGATTATTCTACCTGTACACACAACACCTGGATTATTCTACCTGTACACACAACACCTGGATTATTCTACCTGTACACACACACCTGGATTATTCTACCTGTACACACAACACCTGGATTATTCTACCTGTACACACACACACCTGGATTATTCTACCTGTACACACAACACCTGGATTATTCTACCTGTACACACAACACCTGGATTATTCTACCTGTACACACACAACACCTGGATTATTCTACCTGTACACACAACACCTGGATTATTCTACCTGTACACACACAACACCTGGATTATTCTACCTGTACACACACAACACCTGGATTATTCTACCTGTACACACACAACACCTGGATTATTCTACCTGTACACACACAACACCTGGATTATTCTACCTGTACACACAACACCTGGATTATTCTACCTGTACACACAACACCTGGATTATTCTACCTGTACACACAACACCTGGATTATTCTACCTGTACACAAACACCTGGATTATTCTACCTGTACACACAACACCTGGATTATTCTACCTGTACACACAACACCTGGATTATTCTACCTGTACACACACAACACCTGGATTATTCTACCTGTACACACAACACCTGGATTATTCTACCTGTACACACACAACACCTGGATTATTCTACCTGTACACACAACACCTGGATTATTCTACCTGTACACACAACACCTGGATTATTCTACCTGTACACACAACACCTGGATTATTCTACCTGTACACACAACACCTGGATTATTCTACCTGTACACACAACACCTGGATTATTCTACCTGTACACACACAACACCTGGATTATTCTACCTGTACACACAACACCTGGATTATTCTACCTGTACACACAACACCTGGATTATTCTACCTGTACACACAACACCTGGATTATTTACCTGTACACACACACCTGGATTATTCTACCTGTACACACAACACCTGGATTATTCACCTGTACACACAACAACACCTGATTATTCTACCTGTACACACAACACCTGATTATTCTACCTGTACACACAACACCTGGATTATTCTACCTGTACACACAACACCTGGATTATTCTACCTGTACACACAACACCTGGATTATTCTACCTGTACACACACAACACCTGGATTATTCTACCTGTACACACATAACACCTGGATTATTCTACCTGTACACACAACACCTGGATTATTCTACCTGTACACACACAACACCTGGATTATTCTACCTGTACACACAACACCTGGAGTATCCTGATTTAGTCTTAGATCTGGTTCTGATTTAGTCCTGGTTTAGCCTAGATTTAGTCCTGGTTTAGTCCTGGTTTAGTCCTAGTTTAGTCCTGGTTTAGTCCTGATTTAATCCTGATTTAGTTCTGGTTTAGTTCTGGTTTAGTCCTGAGTTAGGCCTGGTTTAGGCCTGATTTAGTCCTGGTTTAGTCCTAATTTAGTGCTGGTTTAGTCCTAGTTTAGTCCTGGTTTAGTACTGGTTTAGTCCTGGTTTAGGCCTGGTTTAGTCCTGATTTGGTTCTAATTTAGTCCTGATTTGGTTCTGATTTAGTCCTTGTTTAGTCCTGGTTTAGTCCTAATTTCATCCTGATTTCATCCTGGTTTAGTCCTGGTTTAGTCCTGGTTTAGTCCTAGTTTAGTCCTGGTTTAGTCCTGATTTAATCCTGATTTAGTTCTGGTTTAGTTCTGGTTTAGTCCTGAGTTAGGCCTGGTTTAGGCCTGATTTAGTCCTGGTTTAGTCCTAATTTAGTGCTGGTTTAGTCCTGATTTGGTTCTGATTTAGTCCTTGTTTAGTCCTGATTGAGCCCTAATTTAGTCCTGATTTAGTTCTGATTAAGTCCTGGTTTAGTCCTGATTTAAGAATTATTTAGTTCTGATTTAGTCCTGGTTTAGTGCGGATTTAGTCCTGATTTATTCCTGGTTTAGTCCTGGTTTAGGCCTGATTGAATCTTGGTTTAGTCCTGATTTAGTACTGTTTATACCTGATTTAGACCTGATTTATTCCTGATTTATTCCTGGTTTAGTCCTGGTTTATTTCTGGTTTAGTCCTGGTTTAATTCCAATACCACAGCTATAATAATAACATGACACCCTCTTCTTCCTCCTCCCTCCTCTTCCTCCTCCACCTTCGCTCGTAGCCGTACCTGTCTCGGTGGAGTACACTCGGAGGCTGTGGTCCTGGAAGCCACACACCAGGATGTAGCAGTTGTCAGCTGTCACCACGAAACACTGCGCTCCGATCCGAACGCTGTGGTCCACCGGCTCCCTGATCTGACGCTTGTTGCTTCCAGAGTCGTTGGCTGTGGGAGGAATAAAGAGGGGAGCGAAAAACAGAGGAAAAACCCGTGTCAAGGCGCGCGGAGGGAAGACGAGGTGAAGAAGACGTTACGGGAGAGTCGTGTGGGTCGGGACATGCTTGTAGTACTGAAGTGTGCAGGGTATACAGACATCACGTACAGAGAAATACAGTGGAGTAGAGAAGGACTGGGCACTGTTGACAAAAATCTCACTGTTAGCGTGACTACTTCCTGTCCAGTTGTTTATATGTGTTTTTTTTCTTTTTTGAGACGAACGTTAAAAGGAAAAATTATTTAAAGATAAGGCAGTGGACAGGGAGATGTGGGTGGATGTCACGGACAACAACAAACTAAATCAGGCCTAAACCAGGTCTAAACCAAGACTAAACCAGGACTACACCAAGACTAAAACCAGGTCTAAACCAGAACTAAACCAAGACTAAACCAGGACTAAATTCAGGACTAAAACCAGGCATAAACCAGGCATAAACCAGGACTAAACCAGATCTAAATTCAAAAAATTCAAAAAATTCAAAAATCTAATCCAGGTCTAAACCAGGGCTAAATCAGGACTAAAATCAGGACTAAAATCTGGTCCAAACCAGGTCTAAACCAGGACTAAAACAGAAATAAAACCCGGACTAAACCAGGACTAAAGCAGGACTAAATCAGGTTTAAATCAGGACTAAACCAGGGCTAAACCAGGTCTAAACCAAGACTAAACCAGGACTACACCAAGACTAAACCAGGACTAAAATCAGGACTAAAACCAGTCATAAACCAGGACTAAAGCAGGACTAAACCAGAAATAATACCAATAAAACCAGAACTAAACCAGGACTAAAGCAGGACTAAATCAGGTTTAAATCAGGACTAAACCAGGGCTAAACCAGGTCTAAACCAGGTCTAAACCAGAAATAAAACCAGGTCTAAACCAGGTCTAAATCAGGACTAAACTAGGACTAAAATCAGAATTAAAACCAGGACTAAACCAAGACTAAACCAGGACTAAAATCAGGACTAAAATCAGGACTAAACCAGGACTAATCCAGGATTTAACTAGGACTAAACTATGCTGCGCGGGAGTGGGAGAATTCCTGTGTTAAAAGGTACAAACATAAAATAGCACCTTTTAAAATCCAGAGTTTAGTTTGTGCACTGCAAAAAAGCTTGGCCAAAACGTAAGATATAAACCACGGGTGTCGAAACTTTTTTCATCAGGGGCCACATATCAAAACACAGACGAAGCAGAGGGTCGATCAAGGGCCATAGACTAGTGCTCATTACAGTGAATAATTGAAATATGTGCATGTTTAATACTTCAGAATGACCTTTTATTATTAACTTGTCAAAAGTTAATTTTTTATTGATGCAAGGTAATTTGAGCCAATAAAAAAATGTCTGAGGACCGCATTTGGCTCACGGGCCATAGTTTGGATTTTGGACACTTAAATCTATCAGAAAATGACTTAAAATGAGTGAAATTATCTGTCCATGCAGCAAAATCATTTTACCTGGCAACTTATCTTAATATAAACAACCTCTAGACTAGAATTAAGCGTCTCAGAACTAGTAAAGTAGATAACAAATCTGAAAACAAGACGAATAACCTGATATAAGTTTTAAAATCTTGGCCAGATCAGAGAAATTTGCAGTGTGTTTGTTCCATACTATATGTGTCATTCAGAGTTTTGACATCTACAGTGAGAACCTACAGTGTAAATGATCATGGAAATAAACAGAAACACGGATGAAAAAGTCAAAAGAGTCTATACTTTTGACTGGAAGTGTACCTAATATTCAGATTTTGTGTATCTCCAAAACAATCGTCATATACATTTGTTGACACATCTCATGAGAGTTTTGTAAATGACCATTAGAAGTAAAAATCCCTCCTCTTTAAGGCTTACTAAAGCGCTGATGCACACTGGTTGAAAATCAAGGAGGTAAATAATATAAATAAAGACATATTATACAAAAACCCAAACCACTAAACCCCTCAAGGTGCCTCAAATGTAGGATCTTGCTCCGTAAACGCAAAACAACATGGTACATTTGTTTATTTTGATCTTAAATTCATCCTTGAGCAGAACCTGAGGATAATTCTCTCCGGTCACAAAGTCCAAATCAGGGTTTATTCCATCTACACGCTCTCTCTCTATACATATTCATTTCTTTTTTATTATAATATATTGTGATGTGTGAGCGACTGTGTCCAAGTAATTTCCCATGTGGATCAATAAAGTCTTTACCAAAACAACAGTGTTTCAAAGTCTTACCGATGAGAGGGTCCATCTCTATGGGCAGGTGCTGGGATTGTTCCAGGGAGTATCCAGGAGCTCCTCTCAGACCTGCACAGATCGGAGGAGGATATGGAGGGATGAATATATAAAGGTTAGGACATGATGAGACAAGATCTCACGAGACAAAACTGAGATAAAAGACTGAGCACACATGTGGAAAATGATCTCATGAGATTTTTTTCCTCATATTTTTACATTTGACTTTGATAAACTGTAATTCCAAAAAGCAGTGCTACAATGACAGCAAAACAATAGGCGAGTTTCGGCTGACGTCATTGTTATTAAAAGCCCGCGTTGCATGCTGGGAAATATTTTGGTCGGAGGCAAGAAACACGGTAGCGTCAAACACGGTGCGTAACCTCGCGTATTTATCCCCGATGATGGTAAATTCCTGCTGCATTATCGGATGCACAAATAGAAGCACGGAAGAAGGAAAATGTCTTTTTCGTATTCCGAGTGAAAAGAACCACTAACGGTGAATTAAACGGCTTTCAAACATCCGCAGAGCAAACGTAGAAGATCCTAACAAACCGTGGACTCCAACAAGTTCAACAACACATCGAGACTCTTGGAGGTTTTCATCTTTTCTGCTGTGAATGGCCCAGGAGTTTCCACCAAGTCATTGTGGATATAAGTGAATATTTGTCCAGGTAGTTGGCGATTCTGACCAGAAATTTGGTTTGGTCCACCTTTTGTCGGGGTTGAAAAGGGTGATTTGGCGTCCGTCGATGTTTATGACCAATTTCTGGTCAAATTGTCTTGGATCCTCTGCCGTTAGAGTGGATAAATAACCGCGATCGATACCCTTTACCTGCTTTCTCTCTCCGTGAATTAGTGTTTCTTGCCGCCAACCAATATAATTCCCAGCATGCAACGCGCGCTTTTGTCAACAATGAAACTCACCTATAATATGAAATAAACAAAAAATTGTGAAGTCAAAGTTGTGAACTGAATGGCACAGTTTATTTATTTAAAAATATATCAAAATCTCGTCTTGTCTCGTTCTCGTGAGCCGAATCTCGTATCATGTCTTGTGTTGTAGAAATTGTGTCTTGTCCCATTTCTAATAAAAGTACATCTTGTTGTGAGAGAACATTGGCAGACACCTCTTTAAACAGATTTTTTAGGTGTGATTTAGGAGGGGTTGTGTCTGAGAAATGCTGAGTTGGTTGAGTGTTTGTCCACTGATGCAAAGGTTGGTGGTTTGAATCCCACTGTCAACATAAAAGACCACAGGCAGAGCGGTCAGGTCCAGTGACCCACAGGTTGGCGTGATGTGATGTTTTTTAATTCCGAATGAATTATTTTGAATTAAATAGTTCGGAATTAAATTATTCTCCTTCAAGTTTACACGAAAATAATAATTCCAAATTAAGGTTTACATGGAAAACACATTAAATCGGCTTTATTTAATTCCGCTCAGTGTCTCGGGGTGGAGAAGGGTTCTGATTGGACAGAGACACGAACGTATCGACCGGAAGAAAACACACACTTCAGCTGCTACCGGCTTTTCTGTCATCTCGATTCGTTGCTGCGCATGGGGATGTGTACTGCTGTTCCCCTGCCCATATAAACTAGGGAACAGCGGTCCAAACCCAGTCTCCTGAACCAGCGGGCGCAGCTCCGGTAACTTTAGAACCAAAAATGGTACAGAAAAAAGGTAAACAGTTTCATAAACTAGAGTACATATGTATCTGTTCAATACATTTTTATATCAGATGCATTAACTTGAATTTTTTGGCCTTGCTGTTTACTTCTGCTTGACCGGGCCCATGGGGTAAAGTGGGCTGACCCCGACACAAACATGATTCAAACTTTTTTTCACCATCTTGCAGTGCGTCATTGCGTCAGAAGGGCGACCCAACGCGCATGCGCTGAATGACCGGAATTATTTTTTAAGCGGAATAAATGTTTACATGATCATGGAATAAATAAATTCAATGTTAAAATCGGAATAAACCACCCACTTAAGTTGGATTTAAGTTTAATTCCGAATAATCATTAAGAATTAAGTGTTTACATGGTCTTTTTAAAGAGGAATTAATTTTTATTCCCAGTTACATTATTTTTAATCAGAATTAAAGCTCTCATGTAAGTTGATCATCTAAAACAAGGCCAAGATAATAACAAAGAGAAACGGTATAATAATAAATTCTAAATAAGTCTCAGAGCATGTGAAAGTGTGCGTAAGTGCATGTGTTTCTCTGTGTAACCGAACTGGAATGTAACTTTGGAGTTCTGAGCTTTGGACTCGTTGTGGACATGCATTCCTCCGGGCTCCACACATCTCCACACCTGCTCGGCCCTCAGCCCCTCTAACCCTCTAACCCTCTCCCACAGCCTGCCTCTGCACTCACTCCCATCTGCTGCGCTGGCTCCGCTCCTCTGGCTCCGCTCCGTGTGTCAAACCAAATGAAGACGTTTTACTCATGTGAGAGCCGCTCTGGAGCCCTTTTGGAAACAGCTACAAGGCCTCCAATATGGATTCCAGTTAGGACGGGAGTCTGCCACAGCTTTAAGTAACATGGTAAAGTATTTCTATTTTATTTTTACTTGTACATATACATTTATATAATTATGCCTCATTTGACACCAGTCTCTTCCTATTTGTGCTACATACCATTTACCGTATTTTCCGGGATATTAGGCGCACTGGATTATAAGGCGCACTGCCATTAAATGGTCTATTTTCGAACTTTTTTCACAAATAAACTGCACCAGATTTTAAACGAAACACAACAGTTGGATGGGTCAGTGGGACTTTGTTTGTGGCGTTCACGGTGACTCTGGGCTTTGTTCAGTTGTGGCGTGTAGGGAGGGTGCTGTCTGGGACCGCTGGATTGTCGGCGTGTTCGCGGTGACTCAGTTGTTCAGTTGTGTCTAGAAGTGGCACATTGTCCTCGCTTTTTTGGTTCGTTCCTCTGTTCCGTTCCTCGTCGGCGTGGAGTGATGAGTGTGTCTGCGGGTGTTTTTCGCTGCGCGGTCGCTGTCTGCTCCGTGTGTGTTTGCGTGCGCTGCAGGTGGTGCGGCTTTATAGTTTACTGAAGTCGTACTGGGACACCTGAGTGGATTCGTGTATAGGGCGCTCTGGATTTTGGGGCGTGCAGTCATTTTTTGATGGGGTTGGAGGCTTAAGAGCGCATCTAATAGCCCAGAAAATACAGTATATATTTTTTCTCTTAGTTACTATAATGTGAAGTGTGAGCTACTGTGTCCTAGTAATTTCCCTTGTGGATCAATAAAGCTTGTCTAAGGCCCCGTCCACACTAGTACGTATTTGAAGTCGTTTTGTTGAGGATGCAGTGTTCGTTCACACTAATCCAATGGAAAATGGCTCCAGAGACGGAACAACCTGGTGACAAAAGCTCCCACGAATTCATCTGAGTACTGATCTGATCCGGCACTGTGTGGACGCCTGAAAACGTTGATACACTGACGTAGGAGCTCTAGTTGCGTCCTTACTAGACCACATCGCTGTGACTTACTCCTTCCTAATTCGCTGGGTTCGTGACATCGGTCATGTGACGCTATTGCGGAAAACAGTTTAAACAAACTACAGACAAACGTGAAACTTGCTTGTAGAAAAGACAGTTTTCACGCCTGCCATCTTCCAAGGCTCGAAATCAACTGCTGCAACTTCAAACACGGTACTCCACTTTGTTGTTTTTACCGCCCACGTGACGTTGTGATGACATGATGCCAGCCTAGTCATGTGACCAGCATTTCAAGTGGTTTCGCGTTACTGTGTGGATCATGTCTGGACGCCAATCGTTTCCCCGACAGGATGGTTGCAGTTGTCATTGAACTTCAGGCTTTGTCGATTCATCCAGTGACTTCCAGGAAAGGTGCATGATGCACCCTCCTGTTTACCCTGATGCTGTGTTCTCCATCCCTGCTTTCCCCCAGTCCCTCACAAGTTTCTCGCTCACTCCAAACTTTCTTTCTGCTGCTCGATTACTGCTTTCGGCTGAATATTTCACGACTTGCAGCAGGACAGAGGCTCTTTCTGCAGGAGACATGCGCAGTAGAGCCAAGTGGTGCAGGAGGAACAGGAGCAGCAGATACTGACACACAAGACTAGAGCCTCTAACGGCTGTCAGTGTGAAAAATTTTAATATATAAGTCGCAGGAAACACCCAAACCATGAAAAAAAGTGCGACTTTATAATCATAGTCTATTTATATATGAGTATTTATGGAGTATATACAGTCAGAGTTTCCTTTTTAAATCTCTTGACAAGATCTTAGTGTAAATCATTACGGTAAGAACAGAAAGAATTCAGATTTAAAAGTGCTTCTCAAGTCTTCTCAAGTCACAGGCCTCAAGTCCGAGTCAAGTCCAAAGTCACTGACCTTCAAGTCCAAGTCGAGACCCAAGTCTTAGTCCATTTTATCAAATCAAGTCTTAAGTCCAAGTCACAGGTCGACTTCAGTACTTGATAGTAACTTGGCCAAAGGTTTCTCAAAAATATCAAAAATCTAACTCTAATAGATATTAAAACTAGAATCGAATGTTATTTATTTGTCTGGAATGTTTCGCAGTAGGGCATTAAACCTTTTTGTCTTCGTGGAGACCAAACCAGACCAAGTTTCAGGTCAGAATGTGATGTTTTTCTATGTATTTTTGGGCTATACATCCACCTGTAATTGAATAAATGTTAAATGGAGCTGTTTAATGTCACACTGTGAAATATTTGAGGCAGAGCAGTGACATCTCCACCTTTTAATATTCCTGCTCTTTGTTATTATAATATATTGTGATGTGTGAGCTACTGTGTCCTCATAATTTCCCTTGTGGATCACTGAGTCTATTTTCTGTTCTTAGTGTTAAAAAGTCCCCTGTAAATTCATGAACGTTACATTTTGCTTTGTTTCTAATTCATCTCACTTGAAAAAGGAAAAGCATTAACATGTGTCTACTTTATTTATACAGAAAAGGGCAAAGATGAGTTCATGGTTTTGTTCAAGTTTTTGATCTGATCCTGATGTTTGACTGAATGAGCCTTTCCTGAATAATTTTAGAATGATCTTGAGCTGGATCAGAACAAGTATAAGAGCACATGGGCCACCAGTGTTGGAAGTAACGTGTTATAAAAGTAACTAATTACTGTAAATGCATTGTTTTTTGCTGTAAAAATGTGGCATTACAGGGAAAAAATTGTAATATTTTACTTGGTACAAATGTCAGTAACTCACATCACAATGCTTTTTTAACCTGGATTGAAGTGGTGGGTTTTTCGTTTTTCTTCACATAAATTCGCTGAAATTATTGCGATATCAGCAGCGGTGAAACAACGTTACGGTTCTGAGTGTCAGGACGGGTCCAGACGTGCGCCCGCGTAGACCGTTGGGCGACCACGGGCGAAAAGACCGACACAGAACTCCACACTCCACTGGGCGAATCGCAGCTGGCGACCGATGACACTTCACAAACGCTCTGCTCCACGAGCTCAGGGTTCTCTCAGGGGCGCTCCTAGATTTCAAGTCCTAGTCCAAGATTAGCCCTGCTTTAGTCCTGGTTTAGACCTGGTTTAATCCTGGTTCAGTTCTGGTTTAGACCTGGTTTAATCCTGGTTCAGTCCTTGGTTCGGTCCTGGTTGAGACCTGGTTTAGTCCTGTCTTAGTCCTGGTTCAGTCCTGGTTTAGTAATGTTTAAGACCAGGTTTAGACCTGGTTCAATCCTGGTTTAGACCTGGTTTAGACCTGGTTTACTCCTGGTTCTGTCCTCCTGGTTCAATCCTGGTTCAGTCCTCGGTTCAGTACTTGGTTCAGTCCTTGTTCAGTCCTGGATCAGCTCTGGTTCAGTTCTGGTTTAGACCTGGTTTAGACCTGGTTTAGACATGGTTCAGTCCTTGGTTCAGTCCTGGATTAGACCTGGATTAGTCCTGGTTCAGTCCTCGGGTCGCTCCTGGTTTAGTCCTGGATTAGTCCTGGTTCAGTTCTGGTTCAACTCTGGTTTAGTCCTGGTTCAGTCCTGGTTCAGTCCTGGTTTAGTCCTGGTTTAGTCCTGGTTTAGTCCTGGATTAGTCCTGGTTCAGTCCTGGTTTAGTCCTGGTTCAGTCCTGGTTTAGTCTGTATACGGCGCAAAACTTGAGCATCTTTCTACAGTTATTTTGTTGAGAGAAAACAAAAAATGTTGCAGTCGTCGTGTCATGTCTTAAATTTTAAATACAATAATATTGTAATGTAACAAATGACTATGAAATGACAGTGACAAGTCATAAAATAAATAACACATTACAGTTTTGAAGGGATTACACAAATATAAGGCCACATAGGAACGAAAAGAAAGTACTATGATTTATGTTTTGAAAATCACATTCCATTTATTGTTTTTTTTCATTATCATCAAATCTAACTTAATATCGAACTCGCTTCTGGAATGTTCATATCGTGACAACACTCCTTCTCCGCCGCAGCGCTCTTCTCGTAGCCAGGTGCTGCAGCTGTTCGTTAGCGGCTCGCTCTTGTTTCCATGGTGACAGATGGCGACGTGTGAGCTGAATGCGCTGCGGCCCGGGGTCTAATTTTCCCAGGAAGCGCCGCAGCGACCTTTTGACCCCGAGGTGAGGCTGACGGCAGAGGCGGGTTTGCTTTGGCTAATGTTGTTCACACGTGTGGGTAGATGTGGGAACGCCGGCTCTACCTGCGACGGGGCTGGCGGGGCGGCGGCGGCGGCGGCGGCGGCGGGGCGGCGGGGGCAGGTGGGGGTGGTTGTTTCGGAGGAGGTGGGTGTGACGGTGCGGGGCATGGTTACAGTGTGACAGTGATGAAGTGACTGCTCTGGCCTCTGCTGTAGGTTACGCGCCGCACCTGGTAATGACCGGGCCTAAAGGACTTTATTGTGTTGCCGTGGAGATAAAGCTAAACAACATGGCAAAAGGAAAAAGTACACTGCGCAATCGAAATGTTTAATTAATATGTTTTTCTTATTCTTAGTTTATGGAGAGGCCTCAGAACCTCAGAAAACTCAGAACCTCTAGAATTCCCTCCCTGAGCTGTAGAGGCTGCACTAGCACTGAGTCAAGTTACTTTAAAACTGTAATGGGTTATTTTTCTGTATTTTATGATTTGTTACTGTTGTTTCAAAGTGACTTGTTACATTAAAATATTACTGTATTTAAAATGTAAAACGTTACACGACTATTGCAGCACTTTCAGTTACTCTCAACAAAATAACTGTCACTGATCGTAAAATAATAAATAACAATCAGCGAGTGAAGATGTCGAACTTTTGCGCTGTGTATGGACGGAACCAGGACTGAACCAGGTCTAAACCAGGTCTAAACCAGGACTAAACCAGGACTAAACCACAGCTGAACCAGGACTAAACCAGGACTAAACCAGGTCTAAACCAGGTCAAAACCAGGACTAAACCAGGACTAAACCAGGACTAAACCACAGCTGAACCAGGACTAAATCAGGACTAAACCAGGACTAAACCACAGCTGAATCAGGACTAAATCAGGACTAAACCAGGACTAAACCAGGACTAAACCAGGTCTAAACTAGGACTAAACCAGGACTAAACCAGGACTAAAACAGGTCTAAACTAGGACTAAACCAGGACTAAACCAGGACTAAACCACAGCTGAACCAGGACTAAACCAGGACTAAAACAGGTCTAAACTAGGTCTAAACCAGGACTAAACCAGGACTTAACTAGGACTAAACCAGGACCAAACCAGGACTGAACCAGGTCTAAACCAGGTCTAAACCAGGACCAAACCAGAGCTAACCTTGAACTAGGAATCTAGTACCGCCCCTGAGAGAACCCTGAGCCCGTGGAGCAGAGTGTCCTCAAAGCGCAATCAGGTGGCTGCGATTCGCCTCGTGGAGCGTGGAGTTCTGCATCGGTCCTTTTGCCCGCGGTCACCCGACGGTCTACGGGAGCGCACCTCTGGGCCGTCCCACCATTCGAAACCACAATAATGGCGTTTCACTGCTGCTGATATCGCAGTGATTTTAGCAAATTTGTATGAAGAAAAATGAAAAACCCACCACTTCAATCCAGTTTAAAAAAGCATTGTGACGCGAGTTACTGACATTTGTACCAAGTAAAATATTACAGTTTTTTCCCTGTAATGCCGTAACATTACTGCGTTACAGCAAAAAGCAACACATTATAGTAATTTGTTACTTTTAGAACACGTTACTCCCAACACTATGATTCATGACTGTCTACAGGTGCTGGGGTTTTGGTAGAGACCAATCAGATCAGAGAGAGGAGTTTTAGATTTAAACCAACTGGATTTCAGCGTTGAATCTGGCTACTCAAATGAGATACTTGTGAGACTTACTCTGCTTTCTGACTGGATAAACGTCTTTTTTTTTTTTTTATTTATTTTTTATTTATGTAGCACTTTTCACAGACACATGTCACAAAGACGCTTTACAGATCATGATTCAGTCACTCCATACCCGGTGGTCGTATGCTTCTATTGTAGCCACAGCTGCCCTGGGACAGACTGTCTGAAGCGCGGCTGCCAATCAGCACCATCGACCCCACCGATCACCACCAACACTCTCGCACACACACCACTGTCGTACTAGGCAATGTGGGTGAAGTGTCTTGCTTAAGGACACAACAACAATTTATGTGACTGGTGTCCCACTGCTGCACATGATTTTCCCAGCGTCTCCCATCCAAGTATTAACCAGGTCCGGCCTCGTTCGTCTTCTGAGATCTGACGGGATCAGGTTTTGAGAAGACGGGATGACCTTGAACTGAAACACCGAAGTAGAACATAAATGAACAGAATCATGTCCAGTGTTTTTGTAAATGGTTCATAAAGTAATTGGTTGGCAGCTGAATCAGACTGTGATTGGACAGAAGGACCAGGGACGACATTCAGCCTTCCAAGTTAGGATTAAAGGAGCTGTACCTGATTTTTACGTAAATAATGTAATGTAAAAATGTATATAATGTATGTATGTATGTAAAAAAAAAATAACTCGCTCATATTTGCAGTGGTCCAAAGTTATTCCTCACTTACCCAATGCATTACTTTCATTCTAATGATTCACTGTGATGAGTTTTATGCAAAGCTTTTTTTTATCACAGTAATTCTAACAACAACTAGCATGCTAACAGTGCAGCAGCCAGACTTCCTGGTTTGTGTACAGCTTTATCAGTGATTAAATATGTCCATGTACTCCTTTTAATTTAGGAAAGCAACTATATTTTGAATACCACCAAAAGAAAGACTCACTGTCCTGAGAAACAGGTACACAGATTTATTATTTATATATTTTGGTTCATGTATTTAGTTACTTGCCGACACTGAATTAGATACAGACAGCACACAAAATAAGTGGTCTTATTTTGGTTCTAAGAGCTGTTTTTTTTTTTTTTTTTTTACAAAATATCTGTATTTCTAGGTTTCAGATGACGTCAGAACATTAGAGGGGCAGCTAGAATTACTGAATGAATGACTGAACAATGTAAGAAATGTGTGAAAAGTGCTATTTAAATGAAAAACTTACTTACTTACTTATTTAAATACTAAAATTAATGTTGTTAAAATGTAAAATTATGCTGTAATAAAGTGAGTTCTAGGGTTTAGTGAGTAATTGAAATTATCAGATTAAAGATTTATGAATTTACTTTTTGGATATTCATGACAAAGTACAATGTTATCAAGAGGGAAAAGCATCTCTTGCCCACGATCTGAGCCTGAAGAAGAAGAAGAGAGAGAGAGAGAGACGAGGAAGGAAGGAAGGAAGGAAGGAAAGGAGGAGGAGAAGCAGAAGAGGTTAAACATGTGCATGATGTCTCCTCCAGAAAATCCAGAAGAGGATGGAAGAACTGGAAGAGGAGAGGAAGGAAGAGAAACAGAGGAGGAGCAGAAGAAGAAGGAGCCTCAAGAACTTCAAGAAGGTCCAAGAAGAACTGAGGTAGAGAAAGAGGAGGTAAAACACGTGTGAGACGAGGAGGAGGATGAGAAGGAAGAGGAGGAGAGAGCTCTGAGCCTCACCCACAGTGTTGTTCCAGCGGTTGAGGGCGACCAGGCGGCTGCAGGTGACGGTGACCACGGCGGGGGTGCTGAGCTGGGGCAGGGTGTTGGCGGACACGTGGGTGACCGGAGAGTTGGACGGGAACTTCAGAACCATGAGCACGTCCTGGTGCAGCTGGTCCTTCAGCATGAGAGGGCTCTGGAGACGAGGCAAGACAAAAACGAGGTCAAAGAATATCAGAACATCACAGAGAGCAGGAAACGATCACGGTTTTCCTCACGACCTCTTGTATTTAACTGTGATTATTGTGATATTCCTGTCATTAAAGGGCAACTAAACACCAAATTCACTTTTTTTCTACTGATTAATAGAGTAAATGAGTCTAAAATATAAATGTATACCTATCCATGGCCTTATTTTGGCATTTTAATCTCACTTTTGGGTCAAAAGTCGTGTCTACATCGACTGTGTCCAAGTAATTTCACTTGTGGATCAGTAAAGTTTGTCTAAGTCTAAGTCAGTATAATAATGTTTTGATGATTGTCTAATTTTTGATGTTATTTGGTGGGATAATACCAGTTGTAAATAAAAATAAATTATAGTTTTACACCAATCAAGAAGCAGTTTGTGAAGAAAAGTTGAAAAAAATTGTGGAAAAATGAAAAATCCTGTCAAAAATTTCGGTACAATTTATACTTTACAAAACACATTTTTCTGATACTTTAAACATGATTTCAACAAAATAAAAGTGTTTTCTTCTTATTATTTTTTTTATTTGTCGAATTTTAATATGTGTTCATTAAAGGAGTTTTGGCCCATTGTTGCTAGGTAAAAGTTGAAAAAGTCCCTAAATTTGAAACCCAACAAAATCCTGTCAAAAATTTCTGTACTATTTATACTAAACACATTTTTCTGATATTTTAAACATGATTTCAACAAAATAAAAGTGTTTTCTTATATTTGTATACGTCAAATCTGAATATGTGTACATTAGAGAAGTTTTGGCCCACTGTTGTGCTCAAAAGTTGTGGAATTTCCAAAATTCTAAACCCAAAAAAATTAGAAATTAGGATTTTTTTTTTGTTGGTAAAATCTTAAATATAATTATCTTAACTGTGTTTTAGTAGAATAGGCACTTCACCTTTTACCTGATTTTTAAGGTAATAATACTGCCTTTAGACAATAGAATGAGATTTTCAACATTAAATCATGGTACCGTATTTTTCAGACTATAAGTCACAGTTTTTTCATGGTTTGGGTGGGCAAAACCATGAAAAAAAGTGAAAAAACACAACCTCCGTTTACCTCAAGAGGTCGTGGAGTTGCTCAGAAGTGACACCGAGGATGAAGAATTGAATGGATTTAGTGATTTGGAGTGAGATGGAGAGTTTGTTAAACTTGTTCTGTTCTGTTGTTTATGTTATAGTTTATCTGAAGAACTGTTCATATGTGACGTTAACAGTCTGTGGTTCTCTGTTCTATTGTTATTACTAGAACTTTGCTTTCAAGTTGAAATGTCGGTTCCTGGTCTCTGATTTTCTAAAATAAACCCCCCCTCCCCTAAAATGCGACTTATAGTCCGGTGCCATTTATAGTCCAAAAAATACGGTACTTTCTTTTCTATTCCCATGTGGTCTTATATCTGTGTAATCCCTCAGTGGTCCATGGGCACGTACTAGTCTATGTGCTCTTATACTTGTTGTGATAGAGCTCAAAATTATTCTAAAGCGATTCAGGAAAGCTTCATTTCTGTCCTGTGAATGTGACTTTTATTATTTTGTTTGTATAGTTTTAGTACACTGCAATTCCCTTTTTTAAAATACACATCTTTGCCGTTTCTTTTCACTTTCCCAACACACTGGACTCTCTTGATTGGCAGTTTATAGAATGTGTAGCTCCTGCCGGGATTTTGTGTGTGTGTGCGGTGTGGGAGCAGAGTGAACCACAAGGATAATGAGGTCTAGGCTGGCTATTACAAGGATTACAGCAGAGCAGCTTAGAGGGGACGCTGTGACCAGAACGGGCCAGTAGGGGGTGCTCTTCACTTTAGACTGTACTACTAAGGCCTGCACACGCTCACGTCTGCCTAATGCTGCTGATATGAAACAAAAGATCTGCGGGTTACTTGTATTAGTGGATTTTTAAAGGTGTTTTTTGACTCTTTTGAGCTTTACGTCATGTTATAATCTTGTTACCGCCTCAAAAACAGACCCGGAGTTGCGTTTTGTTCGGGTAATCCTTTATTATTAGTCTGTTTACTTCTCTAAATCTCAAAATGCTCCGTTCCACCTGGTGATGTCATGAAGTTAACAGCTCCTTTTACCTTTAGTCAAGTTAAAAACACAATGAAACACAGTGGAGAGTGTTTTTCGTTAGAGAGAAGAACTCAGAGCCTAAATATTAGAAGATAATGATGAAACTAAAATCTTGTATTTATGGAAATTGGAATAAGTAAAATTTTTAATGATGAAATGGACAGTGGTTATTTTAAGAAGACGCAAAATCTGACACCTTTTCTGTTTGAGTTTAATATTTTCTGTGCACTGTTCTTGTTTTAAATAAAATAAATAATGGGCTAAAGAGACAAAACACAACTCCAGGTCTGTTTGTGATGAGGAAAGGTTATAACTTAGATCAGAAAATAGCAATAATATGGTCACTTTAAATTAAAAAGCGTCAATTTAATGAGCTATCTGAAAGGTTGTATAGAATTTGATGGTTTCATAATTTCAGATGAAAGGTGGGAGTCTGTATAACGCTAAGATATTCACAGTTTTTAAAAGAAATCTTCAAACTTTTGATCCACAAATGTTGAACTGTATCATTATTTGTTTGGGACTGGCTCCACAGACTTGCCATATTAATCGACCTTTTTCACAATGACCGATGTAGGGTAAACATCTCTTCCGGTTAATGGTTTTCGATGGTAAAATATCTGTGTAAATGTCTCACGTATTCTCCACCAGCTTCATAAATCTGCCCCATCACCAAACCTTCAACCAACAAGGTCCACAGAGTATAAACATTCTAACATGGAGAATTTATCCACAACTATCAAGGGAAGAAAGACGAAAACTTAAAGGAAACAACGACGACGCATTAGTGAATTACTGAGCAAAACTATTGTTAAGGTCATGAATAAAACAGAAGTAATAAGTCATTCGTTAGTAAGTAACTTGCAACTCAGACTGATTCTACAATTAAAATTAAAAAGTCGATTTCATGACGTAGATATTTGCATAGACAGAGAGATTTGTGCAGTTCGAATGCTACAGATGATCACAGATTATATTTCTAACATTCAAACTCCACAAATCTATTTATCTACACTAATATCTACCATCATGAAATCAATTTTTTTTATTTTAATTCTAGAATCAGTCCGAGTTAACAAGTTACTTATGTTTTTACTCAGTAGTTCACTCATGCGTCGTCGTTGTTCTCCTTTACGTTTTCGTCTTTCTTACCTTGATAGTTGTGGATAAATTCTTCATGTTAGAATGTTTATCCTTTGTGGACCTTGTTGGTTGAAGATTTGGTGATGGGGCAGAATTATGAAAGAAAATACGCGAGATATTTAACCAGAAGTGATGTTTACTCTACATCGCTGCACTTCCGGCCGTTGTGAAAAAGGTCTATTAATATTATGGTCTAAAATTCTTTCAAAATGGCCACTGACAGACTAAATATTATGTTTTTACGCAGGGGTGTTGGACTGGGGAGGTAAAGGGTACTATTTACCTCTAAAAAAGTATTCTAATCGTATTTTTTATTAGACAAAATTTAGATGGAGATAAATTCAGATTGATGGTGTACATAGGGTTTTGAATTTGTCGCTACACTCCTGTCTTTACGGTTGAATTGCACCACTTTCTGTAAAAATAATTTCACTTTTCTTTATTTATACCGATAGATAAAACCCAGAACTTCGTGTCCGTTTTTGTTTCATGCGAATAGTCCCGGGAATTACAGAAATATGAACCATAAACCAGCTCGGCAAATCCACACAGGAAATTCCACCTGAGACTTCTGACCTGTCCTCAAAAGCTTTATTTTGGTGATTTAATATTGACTTTAATGTTCCGCAGTATGGTGATAAACACACCTATCTCCACGGAAATGAGCGGGTCAAGTTACAGGTCAGATCTGCGCAGAGTCGACCCCGCTGACAGCAAAAACAGTGCGTATTTGTCAAGGTTTACTGCTGAAAGTCCCTGATTTTTCCCATGTTTTTGCCTCAGTACGGATATATTGTTTGATAAAAAGGAAGTGTGTGTTAGCATGCTATTTGATGTGATTAATTAGAACACTCAGAATGCAAAATAAGTTAAATGAGGAGTAACTCTGGATGACTGTAAAACGTGAAAATGAAAAAGTAGCAGCTCTGATTTTGCGGTTTTCAAACAAAGGGAGTCTGAACCAAACCAGGACTAAACTTGGACTGGGGTTAGGATCAAACCAGGACTAAACCGGGACCAAATCGGAGATCGCATTAGTACGACGTGCACATCTGCAGCGTACTCCGGCGCGGCGCGTTTCCCAGCATGCTCTCTGCTCTCACCAGGTGCAGGGCGGAGCTGCGCGGAGGATGTGGCTCGATAAGCAACTGGGATGGCGTCTGTCCAAGTCTCTGGATGTGCGCTCCGTGGCCTGCGGGAAGAGAGAGAACAGAGAGAAGAGAGAAAGAGAGAGGGAGGGACGGAGGAGGGAGGGGGAAGAGAGAGAGAAAAAAGAGATAGAGAAAGAGCGAGGAGGAGGGAGCGAGAGAGAGAGGGTGGGTGGGAGGGGGAACGGAGAGGGGAGGGAGAGGAGAAGAGAGAGGAGAGAGAGAGAAAGAGAGAGAAAAGGAGGGAGGGGGAACAGAGCGAGAGAAAGTGGGACAGGGAAGAGAGAGAAAGAGAGAGCGAGAGATGGAGGAGGAGGGAGAGAGAGAGGGGGAACAAAGGGAGAGAGAGGGAGGGGAAGAGAGAGGAGGGAGAAAGAGAGGGGGGGTGAGAAAGTGGGAGGGGGAGAGAGAGAGAGAGAAAGAGAAGGAGGGGGAACAGAGAGAGAGAAAGCGGGAGGGGAAGAGAGAGAGATGGAGAGAGAGAGAGAGATAGAGAGGAGGAGGGAGAGAGAAGAGAGAGGGAGGAGGAACAGAGAGAGAGAAAGTGGGACGGGGAAGAGAGAGAAAGAGAGAGCGAGAGATGGAGGAGGAGGGAGAGAGAAAGAGGGAACAGAGAAAGACAAAGTGGGAGGGGGAAGAGAGAGGCGGGAGAGGAGAGAGAAAGGGGGGGTAGAGAGAGGGAGGGGGAGCAGAGAGAGAGAAAATAGAAGGGAGAAGAGAGAGGAAGAGAGAGAAAGAGAGACAGCGGAGGAGGAGGGAGGGAGGAGAGAGAGAGGGAGGAGTCAGACAGAGAGAAAGAGAGGGGGAAGAGAGAGAGAAAGTGGAAGGGGGTAGAGAGAGAAAGAGAGAGGAGGAGGAAGGAAGGAGCAAGCGAGAAGGAGGGGGAAGAGAGAGAGAAAGCAAGAGAGAGAGGGGGAGTGGAGAGAGAGAAAGTGAGAGGGGGAAAAGGCAGGGAGTGAGAGAAGAGGGGTCGAGCAGAGAGGGGAAAGAGAGAGAGAGGGAGGGGGAAGAGGCACGGAGTGAGAGCGAGAGAGAGAGAGAGAGAGAGAGAGGAGATGTGAAGAGCAGAGAGAGAGAGAGAGAGAGGAAAGGGGAACAGAGAGAGAGAAAGTGGGAGGGGGGAAAAGGCAGGGAGTGAGAGAAGAGGGGTGGAGCAAAGAGGGGGAAGAGAGAGAGAGGCACGAAGTGGGAGAGAGAAAAAGAGCAGGAGAGGAGAGGGTAGGAGGGGGAAGAGAGAGAGACAGAGATGGGAGGATGGAGAGAGGGAAAATGGGAAGGGGAAGAGGCAGAGAGTGAGAGAAGGCGAGTGAGCAGAGAGGGGAAGAGATAGGGAGGGAGAGAGAAGGGAGAGAGAATGAAAAAGAGAGAAAAGAGAAGGTAGTAGGTAGAGAGAGCACGAAAAAAAGAAGGATGGAGAGAAAGCGAGAGAGAGAGGGATATGAAGAGACAGTAAAAGAAAGCCAGAGGAAGATAGGAGGAGGGGGTATGGAGAGAGAGAGAGCGTGAGAGGGAAAAAAAAAAGAAAGAGTGGGGGAGAAAGAGGACAACCCTGTCAACGTCCATATACTTCAAAGCGATGGGTCAATGCGTTCCTTGACAATTCGAGCAAATCCAGAAGCGTCCGTGTGTGCGCGCGCGGGTATGTGGAGCGTCGCGCGGACTCCCATCCGTACACACCGGCGTCACGGGGACCTATAATCTTTACGACGACACAAACAGCGCGTCTGAGTTTCTGTGTTCCAGTTGTCAGGACGGGAAAAAAAAAAAGAAGCCATACATTACGACTCAATCAAGTAATACAACCGAAGAAAGTGCTCGGATGTAACAAAACGCAGAAACGGTGAAGTTCATGAAGTAATCGAAGTACAGCGTGTCCCAAAACATTTTACGTCATTTCGCAGGCCAATAATCTTTGCAGTTCTTGTTGAAATGACCTCAAATTATCCCAGAATGTATAGAAACTAGGGATGTAACGATATCCAAATCTCTCGGTACGATATTTTCACGATATAAATCTCACGGTAAGATATTTTGAGGTAAACAAAACTGCGAATACGCAACTTTTGCCTCTTAAAATGACTTAATATGCCTTATTTTTGTATGTTTTTATTTTTATTTGTTATTTGTTTTTGCAAATTTTGTTATTTTTTTCTCTTTTCTTCTTCTAGAGGGGGGAGGGGGAGAGAGAGAGAAAAAAAAGTGAATATATAAATTGCGTGAAGGCCCGGTCTCAGGACACTGTTGACGCGAATTGATTTGTGTCAATAAAAGTAAAAAAAAAAAAAAAAAAAAGACTTGACAAGATTTTTTAAAAAAGTGCTTATAACGGTTATTCCTTCATGTAATATGCACTGAAATGGAGCAAAGGATCATGGTCTATGTAGTTCCCTTTGTTTTTTAGCAATACAAGCATCTCGAATTTTGGAGTTCAGGTCATCTCGCAATGCATACTGGGAAATGTCCTCCGAAAAAGAGAGCATCAAAGCGTCATGTTTGATTTCTCAGTAGGATGCGTCTATTGTCAAAGCCGATCTTTTCTAGTCTTTTGAACTATATCGCTTTTGTTTCTGGTTCTGATATTTTTTATTTATGTTTTTATTAAGGACGTCACAATCGCATTAGACAAACCAGATGCGTTGGCTTTGAGTGTTTTAGCACAAGTGCGAGTTTTCAACACCTGTCCACATGAAAATATAAACTACACGCATAAAAACAGACAATACAATACAATTTTCAATGGATGCATTTTTGATTGGAAACATACAATAATTTTAATTTACTTTTAAATTAGTTGTTACTGGTTTCCAATTTTAAATTAGCTGGTATATTGTCATGTTTTAGTTATCGGGATCCTGACATTGTAATTGTGTGGTTGTTGGATTTCCTAACAGCGAAAAACAACTCGAGAAACGGGCTTCGGAAGTTTGCAAACTCCATAAATGCAAAAGGTAATCAGTAAGTGCTCCTCATTCTCCTCTACTGCTCTTTTTTTAATGATAATTTCAGCATGACAGTGTATGTAAATGACCTGAGTGTTTGCACATGAGAGACGACGCTGCTGTTGAAGAGGCTCTATTCACACTGACGTCACAAACCAGGAAGACGTTTGGAAACATGCGATGAGAACTTCCGGTGTAGTTCCCGACACTGAGCTCGCCGACCGACTGTGATCAAACCCACTAAAGTAAATGTGATCAGCGATAAAATGAAGACTGCATACGTACGTGCCGTTTGGAATCGTCGTGAATTTGGCGCCTCGTCTCTTCTCGCAGTTGTGTGTCAGCGGGGAAATGATGATGACTGAGGTTTGGTTGGAATTGTTGATGAGCCGAACATAACGGAACGCTACAGTGACATGGAGATGAAGAAAACTGGGACATTTTCTCATTTTTACTAGATTTGGTCAGACTTAACCGTGAACAGAGCCCGCCGGAAGTTGTCATTGCATGATTCAAAACGCCTATAAGAAAACTCTGCAATAAACCCCACAGACTGTACGATCTGTAAACATGAACCACCTCCAACATCTCCATACGCAGAAGAAAATAAACATATTTTCCAGACTTACCATCAGCTGCGGTCTCTGTTCTGTCCTCTGTCCCAACAAATATTTCACCAAATGTCCTTTAGTCCATCTACATGAGCATCGAACATTGCACAGGCCTCCATCAGCAAATGACCCATGTAGCTTTAAGTTTCTTATCTAAAAATGTAAACAAATTGAGCTGATCCTCTCTTATGTCATTATAGAGTCTACAGATAAAGCGCATGAAGCTGTGATGGCCCTAAAAGCTTTAATTTTCATTCTTATATAAAGTTGGGTTCATCCAGGTGTTTATATTATATAATCTTCGAGGCGATGAAACTTTTAATGAGGTAAAAAAGGTCAAAATGTTACTTAGTTCTGCTTTAAATGGGTGTAGCCGTGTTGGATTTTCTAACTCGGGCTCTGAAATGTCACAGAGCCGATAAAACTTGGAAAATCGGCCCTACAAAGACGACTCAAAGTTTAGATATGGGTTAAAATAGGTTAAAGCAATAACTGTATAAAGGAGTGGACTAAAGGAGTGTGACGTCACCCATAGTGTTCAGCTCCAGTCAAATGAAGCTCATCGAGGTCTGCGGTTTTAGGGGCGAATTTCCATTCCAGGAATAGGAATTTATTAATAGACAAAATTGCGCAATACAAACTTCAGGATCATGTAGAGCGGGTTAATACGAACATTTTAAAAGCAAAATGATGAGGCTCACAGTTTCTCAATGTAAAATCAATTGGAAACAGAGTCGATGGAGCCGGAAGTGCCTCCATGAACACTCAGAGTATCACAGCAAACACACGAGCCAGTCATGATTGAGGTCGTTAAATGTGCCTGTCCTTCTCACCGGAGAGCAAGAAGCGGGCTTAATTAGCGACGAAACACACTAGGTGTCAATCAACGCTAGTGGGAGTGACCTCGGGGAATGAAGGTGTCTGATTGGTCCATTATTTATGTTCATATTTTGATTTAGGGACAAAACAGCGAAATGAAAAATTCACGATCGTGTAAAGCGGGTTAATACGAACATTTAAGACCAAAATGAGTGGTATGATAAATAACATTTATTTACCGTATTTTCCGGGCTATTAGACGCGCTCTTAAGCCTCTAACTCCATCAAAAAACGACTGCGCGCCCCACAGTCCAGAGCGCCTTATCCACGAATCCACTTGGGTGTCCCAGCACGACTTCAGTAAACTACAAAGCCGCACCACCCGCAGCGCACGCAAACACGCACGGAGCAGACAGCGACCGCACATCGAAAAACACCCACAGACACACTTATCACTCCACGCCGACGAGGAACGGAACGGAGGAACGAACCGAAAAAGCGAGTGCAATGTGCCGCTTCTAGACACAACTGAACAACTGAGTCACTGCGAACACGCCGACAGTCCGTTGGTCCCAGACAGCACCCTCCCTACACGCCACAACAGAACAAAGCCCAGAGTCACCGTGAACGCCACAAACAAACAAAACCACTGACCCATCACTGTTG